TTGAGTTTACCATATTTTCAAATGTCGATCAAGCTCCCTTTTTATTGAGAAGCCGCTATTTTCAAATCAATATCAAATCATTTCAAATCGTCTGACATTATGGTTTGCTGGGTATATACATACATATGTATGGATGTATGGTATACATAAAAGTGTATTTGTTTGTAGGTGAGCAGCTGATTATTTGAGTATATATGTACTCAAATATGCGACCTGACCTTAGTATTTGTTCACTGCAGATCCATTTCCTTTAATTTCCTTTACCTCAAGTTATATACATACATATGTACATCCCTAGGGCTTAATTTGACACGCCTTTTTCTTTCTTTGAATTGTATAGTCCAACACAGCCATGATACTGATCTGCGTATTCCGATTGTTTACAATTTTTTGTAATTTCGACGTTCGTTTGTAAGTGTGTATGGATTTCTTACCAAGAACTTTTTAATCTTAGATATTTGTTTTCAGCTTCTCAGTATACTTTGAACACTACCAATTACCACTTAAAAAATTGCACTAAAAGCACCTAAACTCTGCTTATTATTTGTTTGCGTACGACTCGGATGTTGTGCACAAACAAAGAAAAAATTACGAAATCGAATATTTTTGCTCTATTCGCTGTTCAACATTTCCTTTGTTAGTATTTTCATTTCTCGTCTCTTCTTTATCCCTAGGCAGGATTGCCAGATTTAAAAATTTATCTCCGAAAAGGTTTTCCAACTTGACTTTTACGGAAAATCTAAAAAAAAAAATATACAAATTACCAATAATTTCACTACAAACCTTCATGATGGCCGTATCGTCACTTTGGGAAATGTTTAGTACCACTCACACCGTTTTTTGGGTGGGGGGCGGAGGGGGAGGCGGCGGGGCCCCCAAAACACCCCCCAATAGAAAGGAGACAGTCGCCGCTTTCTAAAAAGGGGAACCCCTCCCTTGGACTCCTCCCACAGGCACCTAGGGAACCGTTTGAAAAAGGGGGAAAAACGGATTTTTCTTAGGCAAACTGAGCAGTTTGAAGTGGAATATGACCCAACTAACAGAAACCGTGGGATTTTTTAATAAAAGAAATTATGCCAAATTAGATATGGGGGGATTTTGAATAAAGAATAAAAAGTTAATTAAAAATAGAAAAAAAAAAACAGTTTTTATAAAAAAAAAATGTTCTTTTTAACAAATGTATTTTTGCGTAGAATTCCTTTCTACGTAAGCGGCCTTCGGCCGCACTTAGGGATTATAACCCTCAGGCAGTAGAATTCTCCTTTCTGTGTTGCCAAAGAAGGGGGGCTGAACACCTTTTGCAGAGAACACCTTTCTGCGTAGGCGGCCTTCGGCCGCACTTAGGGATTATAACCCTCAGGCAGTAGAATTCTCCTTTCTGTTTTGCGAAGAAAAGGAGCTGAACACCTTTTGCAGAGAACACCTTTGTATATTTTTAATGCTGACGGGGTTATATCCTATCTTCTTTTGTCTCTCATTCTTTTGCATATTTTGGAGTTTGACAGCTGAACTCCGCCATTTAATTTGCATATGCAACCAAAGTCAGACGCGTGATTTTGAAGGTGTTTTTATTTAATGAATTGTGATGAATTGGTTAATATTAAAGTCGTAAAGCAAGTTATAACAAATCAAGTAAAGTGTAAAGTGAAGGGGAATACAAAAATATATTGGTGAAGTGGCTAATTTAAGCAGAATAGGAGTGATAAATGTACGCTAATTTCCGAATTTTACAAAAAAGGGCATATTTCAAACCCAATTTGTAAATAAATTAGTAACCAAAATTTACAAAAGTGAGTGTTAAAATATTGCGTGGACCCTTGACTACAAGTGTGTGAAATTTTTTTTTTTGGATCGGGCCACCCATTTGGACGGAATAGCCAGAAATAGTTGTGAGCGGTACTAAACCCGACCCGTCACTTTTACTGACGAAGGTATGCAGTTTTATAGCTTATTAAATTTAAGAAGGTAAAAGTCAATACGAAGATGCTAGAAAATCGCGTTGGTTTTTAATATTTTTTTTTGACTGGCGGTGCTAGGCATTTTCTTCTATACAAAAGGCACAATCCTAAGATAAAACGTGAGTTAAGTAAACCCTTACATGGCTTCTTATATTTTCAAATAACGAATATTTAATATGGACCACATTAAAATCTGCTTTTCATATAAAAATTCGTACGTGTCCTACCCGCAACAAACGTTGTCCCACCCGTGACAGAGGAATTTCGGATTTTTTTATAATAAAGAAAATTGCTTTCAAGACTTGACGTGTCTGAAAGGGGGCTTATAGGTATTGTCTTCCCAGAGAGTGCTGCCTTATTTTCATTTTGACGCATTTCAATATTGATTCTTTTACTTTTAGCTGGCATTGCCTTTTTGTTTTCAATCAATTTAATTTTTTAAATTTTTCAAAACAAGAGAACGTTTGAAAAAAAGTGTGAAATAAATATTTTGAATTTGTATAGATACTAATCAAATGTTTTTTTTTTTGGCTTTTGCAAATTAAGTAAATTCTCTGCAAGGTTCCCTTAAAATTCGTACACATATATGGAATGTTGTGTATGAAAATATTCCCTTTCCCTAGCAGTAAACCTTTAAGTGTGGGCAACTATATTTTTCAAATAAGGCAGATCGGAATACGCGTTCTCTGGGAAGACAATACCTGTAATTATTGTACCATGGCTTTCTTACGTTAAATTTTGTTTTAATATTGTTAAATCCTATTGACCTTTCTCGTTCTCAAAACGCGGCAGTCTGCGATTTCGGCACGACGAAAAGAACTGTGAATGTTGGAATAAATCGCTGCAGCAAAATCGTATAAGTGTGTGGTTAATTTAAAAGTTTTAAATTAAAACTATGGTCGGCATTGTCGACAGAATCGCATAGGTGTATGCGACGGCTTGCTACGTCCAACAGCCACTTCAATTCGGCTCGATCACATCATTTGCAAAACTTGGAAAATACATCACTTTTACTATCAGGGTTATAGTCTGGCATCATTAATATCAGCGAAAAAAACACGAAAACAAAGCAGCATAAATGGCATAAACGAAACAAAAGAGAAAACGAGTACATGCATACATGGATACAAGCACACACATACATGACATATACATAAATATGAGGATTTTTTGCTTACAAGTTATGACGCAGTTTGGTAAAAGTTTTCAAGAAATATGCACAATAAACCAAGCATCTAGCAACCAATGTTGTTTAGTTTAATTATTTGATAATGCGCGATTATAATTTCTATTCAATTCTTGACAATTAGTTCCTGCAATGGTATGAGAAGTCACCTTTGAAGCTCTTGAAATTTCGCAAATACTGGCTTTTACTCAGCTTCAGAGAAATCCGATTTTATTTTATTGCTAATATGCAATATTTTATATTTAATCACTGAACCGACTTTACTATTGTTACTATTTTCAATTCATTTAATCTGCGCATTGGGATGTAACGATACAAGTAAATACAAGTGCATACTCGATACATTTCTTTAAAATCCGAGGGTTTTTGGTGTCGATACTTTTGGGCCAAGCACCGAGTATTTATCGAAAGGAGGTACTCTAAAGTAGCCATTACACGTGGCAAGTGCAAGACATTCTCTAAAGTCTGTCAAGTCAGTACAAAAATGCAGCGAGAGCGTAAAAGCAAAAAGAGCGTAAAATTGAGAAGAGAAATCTAGCATAAAAAGTTATTGAACACAAAACTAGTAAAAATTGCAAGTGAACAGTTGTGGAACTCATTTGACATTTCTGCTGTAAACATTTTACAATTTATAAAACAGTTTTAGGGCCGGTTACTCAATGTCTGGTTAACACTAATCTCCGGTTAAACATAGTTATCGCCGTTACCGACTCCCTGTTATATGCATGGAGTCGAAGTCGTCGATAACGATGTTTAACCGCCGATTAATGTTAACCAGACATTGAGTAACCGGCCCTAATATTTTAAAATATCGGAAAACATTTTTTTTAACCTCTTATATCTTCTTTACTTTTTATTTGCCGCAAATAATATTTAGATAAAATCAGCGTAAAAAGTAATATCGGTCTGCATTTTTAGTTTTCCCATAGCGAACGGTTGGTTATCTTGATGTGTTCCAAAATTAGTCAAGAAACATTTCCATGTTTTTCAAAACATCGGTGATTTGATTTATCATCGGATTCGTAAAAACATCGACGAACATCTACCTCATCTACCACACAAGGTCTGAAATCTACCAAGAACGATAGAATACAAGATTGCGCATTCCCGCAGAATGACATTTGTGGCAACGAGTAAACAAAGAATATGGCGAAGAACAAAGAGTTGACAGTTGTGAATTTGCTGTGAGAAAACGTGTTCTCTTCTCGATTCACCAATTTCTCAAGCCATCTTTGAATATAGCAGTTTAAGCACTACGTTAACAAAAAATATGCAACCACTCTTGAAATGTGTTCAAAAGAATAGGTCTTATAATTAACTATTTAGAATTTTTATGTTTGTATTGCAGGTGCCGAAAAAGTGATAATATCTTGTCGCAGCGCATGTTTGTGAAAGTAGCAAATTTCAGTGCATCTAAAGTTTCTAAAGCTTTGTTACTTTTACTTGAGAAATATCAAAATCGGCAAATCCCAAGTAGCGGTTTCTGGAACGTGCCATATTTGGTCGCTACATCGTGATGTGATAAAAAGAAAAGCTGGCAGCACTCCGTAAGGTTGCAGAAATCTTCCAAAATATGTTCGAAAAATATCTTGATATGGAAGGAACTGCTTTACACTGACAAGAAAATTCCCAAAACTCAACGCAATTTTTAGCATTTTCAATCATGCACTTTATTATGCTAAAATTAATTTTTTCTAGATTCTAATAAAAGTATTTGCACTTTAGGTGAAACCTTGCAGCATTTTTTTAATTTTTGTACAAAGTTTGATCCAAAACCTGAGATCTACCATATTTTTTTGAAATCTGCCACATTTTTTTCTAGATCTACCACAATTTTTGGAGTCCGATCACTTGCCACGACCATCGATGTTGCTCGATACATCGATGTTTTTTACATCCCTAGTCTACTTTTGGTTATTTTCATTCTCATTTACAATCAAAGGAATTAATGGCGGATAAGTTACCAGCGATTGTGCCACCTTCTAAACCATTCCCTGGTAGATTTCGGGCCTTAAACTTTTTATATATTCCGTATTATAAAAGCGTTATTTGGTAGATCTATCTAACTTTCTTAAACAAAACCATGTACAATGCATACACAAGTTATTTTAGTCGTCATGTATTGTTTTTATTATAGGTTCGCTTACACCCGGTTGGAACGATCCGCCTCCTATAAATGATTCTCGCCCGGCTGGCCGCACGAAACTCAACTTAAACAAGAGAGTCGCTTTTCCCGTGCAAACCGAAAGAATTGAGCAGGGGCCTCCCCTAACAAGCTTTGGACAGTCGAATATACCACCAGTGGGCAATATTCCACCACCGCCATCATTGTTGACACATTCATCTCAAGGTTTACACACAGCAAATCCTGGGAAATAATCTGTCAACGTAGCCACTTGGTAAGAATTACTATTCCAGAGACCATTTGTGTATAAACTTTCAAGTAATTATTTAAATATTGCTTGTAAATTAACCATAATTTGATAAATATTTAAGAAATGTTATTAATTGAATAAAGGTTAATCTAACAATTAATTAAGAAATATCTTTAATACCAAAAGAATGGAACTGTTATATTCTGAAAAGCGCCGAATGCCTCAGGAATGACAGAATACATCGCTACATCAGGTGTGGAGTAGGGATGACCGAAGTTTGGCTTCCGAAAAGTATCGGGTAGTTCGAGGCTGGCACCTTTCCAGCTTGAAAGAACGAAGACCAAATAATTCAATGGCATGCTTCTCTTTGTCCCTTGAGTACAGGGCACTCAGAAGAACTTCCGTCACTCTTCTCCGGCAACACAAAAGAGAATTCTGCTTAGTAAAGTTTGTGATCCCTAGGCGCGACCGAGGGCCTGAGCAGATTAGATGCAGATGTGCGCAACGAGTGCCCGGCATGCGGAGAGATGCCCCACGGCTCGAGACATCACTTCGCATGCTCACTAAACACGCCTCGTAGAAGCTGCACGCTTCCTGGATATCCCGTTAGCTGAGCTTGACGATAACGATTGAGGGACTAGCCGATCTAAGCAGGGTTGAGTAGCCGCTGCAACAGCAGCAAGGAGGGTGTTCAGCGCAAAACTACTGTGTGCAGCGTAGGAGGAGTGAGACTGATAACGGTTATTTTTGGTCCCAGCAAAAAAGTGAAAGAAAAGTGTTTAAAAATTGACAGAAATTTTATTTACCGGTTACAAAACTTTTATTACCAGCGCAGATTAGACCTGTTAAATCCCAGTTATGCATACTTGCACTGCTATACCATTTTTACGTAAAAATCGAATCAACAGAATTCTACATGTCTGATTAGCACAAATCGGAGGTAGAAGTTCCGGTTAAGTACAACGACTGCTTTATCGATCACATGTTACGTGCATGATGTCGAAATCGTCGATAATGTAGTGGTAGTGATAACCAAACATTGCATAACCGGCCCTAATCATCGGTTAACATCGTTATCGACGTTTTCGATCACGTAAGAACACATGAACCAAAAAGACAAGATCACGCGGGCTGGAGACTAGCCCGTTAGAATCGCATTTAGGAAAAAAGTTGAAAAGTTGAGTTTGTTTACATTTCTTCGTTGTTTACAATTTGGTGGTGGCTTTTTACTGCAATTTTCTTCATTTTCACTTGTGACAACGTGTGTACACATAAGATAAAGAATAATTTAACACAACGGCATGATTTATAGAAGAATTTGCATAATAAAAATGATTTTTCATACGTTCAACAATTTCGCGGTTTTTTCCGTTCTCTTCGTTGTTTACTTCTTACAACAAAGATGGCGTCGAGATTTCGGCAGCTAGAAAATAACTTTTTTCGTTTTTTCCTTCCCGCGTGATCTTGTGTCTTTCGTTCATGATAAGAACAAGAGAGTGAAAAAAGTCGATTTTTTTAGCGGGATCTACGCCATCTTGTTTCACTGGAAAACGAGCGAAAAGTAAACAAAGCAAAGAAAACAACGAAAACCAAAATTAGCCAAAATTATTGTCAGCCACTTTAAACGCACAATTTAGGTAAAATGATGCATCAAAATGCTTTAAAATGTGTTGTCATGTTGAATTAACTCTTCTTTACTTGAAAGTGTAAAATAGTGGTGCGTGTGATGTAAACAAACGCTCAGCTGACGAACCCGCTTTCGCAAACTTTTTTCACAAAACTAGTTACAAATACAACGTCGCGTTCTTACGTGATCTTATATTTTTGGTTCATGCCTGGCAGCACTGCTTCGCCTTGGATTTCGTCTTGTTCGCCGCAATTGTTTGAAAAATTGAAACTTCAAGCGTCGTTTGTGTGGGTTCGGTTTGTGTATAATAATAGTCCATAAAATAAATATAGCTTTCCAAAGTTTTGCAAAGGAAGTTAAATCCTGCCAATTTGCACTAGTCTCTGCAGGAAAGCGTCACAATTGATATGTCACATGAGGTTGATCAAAATAATACTCCTGCTGTCCGGGTGATTGTGCGCGAAAGGCCCGCTCGAGATTTGCAAGATCCGAAAGAGGGGGAAACAAGTGTGATTTCCTACCACGAAGGCAGTGCTAATGTGAGAGTCTTGGAAAAAGTTAACATTTGTAACAATTTGGTACTTTTAGATATTAATAGCAGATGGCAGGCCTTTTATTTTCGATAATTTGTTGGTCCCAACGGCTACTCAGGAAGAATTATTTCTCCATGTCCGTCCCCTGGTTGGCAAGGTAAAAAATGGGTATAATTGTACTGCTTTAGCATATGGACAAACAGGAACTGGAAAATCTTATTCGATGGGACTCAGCTCAAACGTATGTATCCGGCAGTTTATTAGTATGAGTTTCAGTGGTATTTAAAAACAACTTTTGTAGTCTTCCGAAGGTGAGCACGTAGGAATTATACCTAGGTGTTTGTTGGAGATATTGAAGACAAATGTGAATGAAGATGTTTCCAGAGCAGACAATAGTTTAATTCCAGAAATCGCATTCGAAGTGCATGCGTCTTTTATTGAAATTTATAACGAAAAGGTTTTTGATTTGCTGGGCGAAAACACTGCGGAACCAATTATATCGCGCGGTTAGTACTGCAAGTGTCTTCACACAATTTTACTTACACTATTTTCTTTAGGATACAAATATACTGGTGGCACCCGAAAAGTTCTAAAAAACAATCGACGATTGCTATAGTGTTCTCCAACAAGGCAATAAAAATCGGCATGTGAGACCTACTAAAATGAATCCCCAAAGTTCACGATCACATGCGATTTTTACGATCCATGTACGCAGTGCGTCAGAAAAGGGGGATCTTAACACTAGATTGAACTTAGTCGATTTAGCAGGTTCGGAGGGAGTGCGTAGAACGGGCCATCAAGGTGTTGCTATGTCGGAAGGTGTTAACATTAATCAAGGCCTTCTATCAATCGGTAAGGTCTTACAAGCAAAGGCGCTCGGTCATAAAGTAATCCCTTATCGAGACAGTGTTTTAACTTCAGTTTTGCAAGGTAATTTTTGATATAAATTGCAAAAGAAAAAATACACATTTTTCAAATTTTCAGATTCACTTAACGAAAACTCTTTTTTAACATTACTGGCTTGCATTAGTCCACACCGAGCTGATTTGACAGAAACTTTGTCAACACTCCGATTTGCACAAAGTGTGAAGCAATTAAAACATTCGCCGCACATTAACTTAATAAAGGCAGAATCAAAGGTAATTGGATTTTATCATTATATTAAAATGTCCCAGGTTTCAAGTACGGAAAGGCATTCTGTCGTGAAACTTAAGTACATGTACGCTTTTGTCAGTAGAGGATTTCCCTTCAAATTATATATGTATTTTATTTATTAGCAATTTTATTTTATGTATCCAAAATTAATACAATCAATTACAACATCGCGCATTCGTTTACCGTATGTAGCCACATTCGCCTCAGAAAGAAGGCCAGACTCTTTTAGATCTCTTGATTTGCCTTTTTCAACTTGTTCACTAAGTTCCTCTAAATTCGGTACGTCATCACCTTTAATTGTAATGATTGGGAGCACAATCATTGCAAATATAAGACCCACTGCTCCTATTCTATGTAGCTCTTTTTCGAATATTTCTCGTGAAAATAATTTGGACGGATTCGATCCCAGCCTGTGCATAAAATAGATGACAACAGTTCTTGAACTTAGAGAAAGATTATGATAAAAAACTGAATTTAGAAAATAAAGGTAAAGGTAATTAAATTGTGCACTTCCATTGCATCACATACTTCACTTTTTTAATTCAGTACCGGCACTAAATAAATTTCACATTAATAACAAAAAATTTGGACTTATTGCGAATTCTATAAGAACAAATATTCCCAAAAATTGTAATGCAAAACAAAAACACTCCCAATTTGTTTTTGTTTTATTTATTCACATGGAGTTCGCAATAAGGCCCATTCTTGTCCGTCATTAAATAACCGTATAGAATATCGATTTAAAATTGAGATTAATCGGGCCGGTTCTGCAATTCACTTCCGAGTGAATTTCAGCTAAAATCACTTTGAATTCATATTGAAAGGGGTTGAAATTCACTCGGATATGAATTGCAGAACCTGCGTGAATATTTTAGTTTATGATTTTAAGGCAGGTGAATTGAAACTGTTCGGAAGCCCTACCTGTTAATGTGCAAAACCAATTCCGCGTAGTAAACATTTAGAACATCGTTGTAATATAGTCCGCGAAATTCCTTTGAGGTACAGGTAAATAGGAAGTACATCAAGTCGGTAAGTGGTGATGAGTATCGTAGAAGCTGCCAATCTAACAAGCATAAGGATATGAGTTTTGCATCCTGTAACATGCACACAGAAATCACGAGGCGTTGTATGTATTATATGCATTGTCGAAAATTGATCAACAAGTCTCACCTCAAATTTAAACATTATGTTATTGTTCCAACAGTCTCCATGGCATACTACTGCATAAGGCTCACATTTGTTGCCGTCAATAAGGTCGAGAAAAATATCGAAGAACGGACGTTCAAAAAATCGTATTAGGACTTTTTTGGGCATCACGTCCTCTGCTTTCATACAAGCCACTGCACTCCTCTTTAATCCCTCAAAATAGTAGTTTAAGTTTGGGTCGCCTTTACGTTGTTCAAAAATATCTTGGATTTTTCTAAATTTTTCCAAACCACCAGAATAATCCTGGTCTTTAATAGCGAAAGAGACCGCATGCAACTTCGCGTAGGCGCGCATTACTGTGGCAACGTGCTCAAAGCGTAATTCATCGAAACGATCAAACAGGCTGAAGTCCTGCAGACCTAAGTCTTCTAAAAATATTGCTTCGTCGAATTCGTCAGTTAAGCATTGAAAACATTCGGCGTACTCATGAAAAGAGTGTTCTTTGGAAATACCTTTACTGTTTTGGAAACCTTTTACCATGGGTAAGAACTAATTAAAAGTGGAACATGTGCGGAATTTAGTTAGTGACAAGCACATACATATATAGATATGTTTAAAGTTGTACCTCTTCATATGCCAGTGATTCCCTTAGAAAGCAAGGTCTGACGAAAAATTGCTTACGTCTATTGGGGCTTCGTG